TAGAGGATGAAGAGGAAAAAAATGGTAGTAAACAAATATGTTAATTTAACTGCAAAATAATAACAGGATATAACAGAGTTCTGAGTATCCAAAGTAACCAATCAGAGCCTAAACATAGCTGAATTCCATCCCAGCCCCAGCACGTCCCTAACACAAGAATAAAACCCTTCTTATCTTGTTCAGCCATGTGTCGCCTGCCACAAACTGCAAAACAGAACAACGCCCAAAACCAGCTAGTCTGATTTCAACTGAGGACAGACAGACTCTGTAGTCAGAAGCACCACAATGAAAGAACTCTAACTCACACAGCTGGCCTGGTGGGTCAGCACACTCTACAAAACAAAGCCACACCACATACAGTACTTCAAACTTGAAAGGACCTTTAAAAAGGCACTGTTAATTTGCCAATAGCTCTAGAATCAGCAAAATATACCTACAGGTCACTGGAGTCAGACAATGAGAAAAGAGGATGAGGCAGGTAAGGCTGAGAAGAAGCCAGGAACTATTCTATACTCATAACTTTATTAAGGCATCCTGGCACAGAAATAACACTAAACCAGTACTTCCAGATTTCACCCCTACCTATGTTCAAATCAGGGACAACTACTCTCCTAAGAGCCAATGGATGCTTGATATTTACAGAATAAGATACGTTTAAAGAAAAAGCAATGGTCACATAAGAATAAATCTTGTGTGTGGGGGGGGAACTAGTAGTAAATTCCAAAGAAACACAAATCTATACTGTCTCAGCAATGCACATTCAATTAGGTGGCTTTTAAAGTCTTTCTTCTTTTAAAGAATATGTGAAATCAGGCAGCACCTGAACTCATCCAAGAATATTAATACCCAAACCAATTTGCAGATTCATCTTAGAATATTCATCTCGTAATCCTTTGTGCCTAGCACAGTGCCTGGCAAAAAACAGGCATTAATTAATTTCATGCTTATTGTACATTTTTATCTCATCTAAGTTACAGAAAATACAAATCCCAAGATTTTATTTCCAAGATAATGGAAAGAGGAAGAAAATCTCTGAGAAGCAAAGAAGAAGAAACGTCATTACTTGGGGGCTTTTAGGTGATTTTCATGCGGAATGAGCTAGTGACCCTAGGTTCTGTTTCTACAAAATTAAACACCCCTACTATTGCAATGAAAACTACCAACACCACATTAGTTCCTAATAAGACTTGTCTGCAGGGTCAACAGAGAAGGCAAGAATTGAATGAACAAGGAAAACAATTAACCCACACACCCATGAAAGTGATTTCTCAGAGGCAAAAAACACCCTGAAAGGAAAAGGAATGGGAATAACTAGAAGAAATCAAGATAAGCATTGTTGCTACTCGTATTAAATGTACTCTGAGAAGCTGAAAATTAAACACAGTAAAAAAAATACACAAACAAAGAATAAATAGTTTAAATATTTAATGGAATCTCTTAGGTGAACATTCACGTGATACTGAAAAGCATCAACAGGAACAGGAAATTCTGTTTCTGGAGTAGCTGTTATGGTATGACAATGGAATTTGGCCCTTTTAAAATCAACAAATGAGTCTTACAATTGGGTGAAACTCTCTTATTAGGAAATTCAACTACTTTCTGCTGGAGTACTATTGTTGTACTTCTCATCAAAGTGCTTTCTTTGGGCCCTTACTTCAGTTATTTGATCTTTTTTTTTTTTTTTAATGATGCAATAGTTTGAAGGTTGACCAAAAAAACAAAAAAGCTGACTGAAACTTGGGACCTGGATACAATGTCATAATTAAACTGATAAATAAAATGTAGTAAAGGAATATGCTTTTATCACTTAACCTAATATTCCAAAGAATAACTCTTAAGAGTAAGGGAACTCCACTGAAACCACAAATGGTTTAGCTCAATTCACCAACCACCACCAAGCAACACAGTTAAGTACTATAAAGGACTCACCCAACTCAACAAATCCACCTGCCAGCTTCTACTACATAATTCGCTTAGGCTTTACACCCCTTAAATGCAAATGTTTCTGGAATATGAAATCCTAAAAATGCAATAATTAAGATCAAGCCCCATGATGTTCCCGAGCCCTTTTTCAGTTCCTTGATACTGTTCCCACCAGGAACCTGTGATTTACTAGTACTTCCAACATTCTGGAAAACTATTAGATAATAAACACTGTGCAAGTCAATGCTTCAAGGGCATCAAATTCATAAATCATGCGGCAGTCTCAGAGTGAAGTTCACAAACAGAAAGTCCTAAAATGCAACAGGCTCTAGAGAACTACAGGACAGGAGTAAAACTGATGATGCACCAATACCCCAGCCGACATCGGGCACTGACTGACCTTCACCCAAAATGACCTTCCTCTCTCTGGTTCCAAGATCAGTACAGAATCCTAATGCACACTAAGGGCAGAAAAACACAATCGTGGCTTTACCTACCCCTCCTCCGAGAATCTGGAGAAAAGTTTCTCTCCAGAAAAAACAAAACAAAACTACGTTTCCAAATTCAATCAACCGGGTAACTTGGCAGCAACCCCAGACTAATTGGAGAGCTCGGAAATAACCCTCTGTCCGCTGCCTGTCAACTTCACTCGGCAAAGGCAATCAGCAATCACTGACCCTCCTGCTAGGTCGGGCCCCATCCTGGGAGGCTAAGCGCAGGGGGAGCTTCATACCAACCTGTCGGTGATAGTAGACTGTGTGCCACTCATTGGGGCCCTTGGCGAGAGGTTCTCCTTTTATCCAACTTGCATTTTACAGTAACACCTCCACCCCACCCCCAGCGCTCTGGGATCAGGCCCGACTCCGTAGGGGACACAAGAGTCCAACTCAAAACTCCATTCAGTCATCTAGAACGTCCGACTGGAAGTGGTCAAGGAAAGGGGATGTGGGTGGGAGTGAGGCAAGTTATCTCCCAAATCAAGCCGAGCAAGTCCGCCAGCAGGCGAGTTCTAGAGCTAAGGAGCGATCCTCCTCGGGAAGGCACCGGAGAAAACTTTGTCACGGAGAGAAGTCGGCGAGCCTCGGGGAAGGCGGCCCGGGAGTCCCTCCGGGGCCGGGGTGGGATCGGCTCGGGGCTGAATGTCGGCTCCTCCTCGCGGCCTTGGGGGCCTGAAAGTCTCCGCGCCGGGCCGGGCCCGCTGGGCTCCGCTGTCTATCTGGGGCTGCCGGCCGCTCTTGGCCGCAGTCTCGGCCGCGTCTCGGGCCGCCCCGCGCCAGGCGCGCGCGGCTCCATGGCCCCGGACCGGGGGACACCGCTCGTTCTCCTCGCCGCCCCCACCAGACTCCGGGCGCCGGGACAAGCGCGGGTGCCGGGCAAGGGGGGGTCCCGCAGCCGGAGGTGACAGGAACCTGGTCTCTCAGCGCCGCGGGCTGCTACCCATCCCTCGGAGGCCCGGGCTCTTCCGCGGTCTGCACAGGCGGCGGCAGCGGCTCCTCCCCGACGCGCCGGTAGGCGACGGTTCCCGCGAGGGGCGGGAGGTTCCCGTCCGACCCGGCCTGGAAGCACCAGCGCCGGAGGCCGGCGGCGACTCGGAGCGCAGGGCCGGCTCGCCGGGTTCTGGGGCCCTCGCGGGAGCGCGCGCGGCAAGCAGAGGAGGCCGCCAGCGGTGGGGGCCGCGCGACAATCGCCGGCGCGCGCACGGGTTCCGGTTCCGGTTCTGACTTCCCGGCCCCGGCCGCATCCAGCGCGAGCTCTCTCTTCCCCTCCCCCGTCCACTTTTTTGGCCTCCTCCCCTCTGACTTCGGGAAGCCGTCTCACCCGGGATCCCTCCGCGGCGCGCCGAGCCGCCCCCGCCGCCCGCGCGACCCGCGCTCGCTGTCCCGCGTACCGCCCTCCGCTCGCCGACCGCGGATGTGCGCCGCCCCCGCGCGGACGCCTCCGCCGCAGTCTTGTTGGAGGGAGCGAAAAAGTAGTTCTGCGGGGCGGAGGGAGGTGGGTTCCGTCTTGCTCTGGGAGTTCCACCCGCCAAACCACCGTTGTCCCCAGGTCCCCGGGAATGCCGGAGATCTGTACTTTGGAGTGTAGTTTGCACCAACTCGGCTTTCGCCTGAGACCGCCAAAGAGCACGCCCCCAATCCCAAGGAGTTGTGGATAAGAGGCTTTTTGGAAATTACCCACCCCCTTGTCCTCGAAACTTGTATTCTTTAAGGGAGCATACTTGTTTTCCTTTTCCGATAACACGCACATACTGCTTTTGGCCGATGGAAGCGAACTCAGATCCGGGTTGCCGGACTCCACTCATCTCTTGTGAAACAAACCCCAGCAAAGGGAGGTTTTGGCCTTGGCCGCTCACCTGGGGCACCTGCTGGCCGCATCCCAGGGCAGGGGCCGCCGCACACCAGTTTTCGCTGCACGCACAGGGTTAGAGGATGGAGGTGTATAGGGCTGGGGAACTGGAGCCAGGATTTCTTCGTATAATGTTGCTTTTAGGCTGCTTCTGCCTTGGCAAAATGATATGTATTATTTGCCAAATTGAGCAAGCATGGTGCTTTCCACAGCGACTTAACAAGCTTGTCGTGGAAAGAAATGGGAGCAGAAAATAAAATATATTTATCCAGTAAATAGCATTACAGTTCTCTTTGAAGAGTTCCCCAATAATATTTTTTTTCCTGCTGGGTAGATAGATTTAGATTACCGTCCAGTTTTGATTGCATAATTCAGGATTACAGCGATTCAAGTACCATGTATAATGTATTTCTTCAATTCCGCCTGCAAACATCTGAAGTGGCTGTCTCTTTATCCAACTATTTTCAGACTTTTGAGTTCAAACCTGTATTGATGGGTAAGGGTCTTTAGCCTCTTTGTGGAAATCAAGTGGCAAAGCAAATCTAACAAACAGTGGACGTGGAGAGGGGAAACAATTACTTCTTAACAATGCTGTTTCTAAAAGTCAATCCGCAACAGTGCATAAAAGGATCATTATCCCTGAATAGATGCATGAGCTAAGGCTGACGTTAGAACGGGTAAAAAAAAAGAAAAAGATAAACAGAGGCCAAAGATGACTCTTTATTGCTTGATTTTTTTTTTTTTTTAAGTTCAGCGCACAGCCAGCTAATTTTGTAATGTTTATTTTGGGAAAGAATAGAAGCAGATTAGGGTTCCAAGCCACTTTCCTAATGATCCAACCAGGACACATTGCCACCTGCTGGTGTACCCTAGCATGATAATTCTATCTTGAAAACTCATAATTGCACATTTTCTATATGTAACTGGAAAGAGCTCCATCAATCTACAAAAAATGACCAAAATGCAAACCTTATCCCCAAACGTTTGTCTTTCTTAGACATACTAAATATCTTTTTGGCCCTATTCTAATAATTTTATAGTGTGGGTATCAAATTAATTGGACCCAATGACTCACCAAATCATGCATTTTAAAAATGAGTTCCCCTCTTCTCTTCAAGAATGCCTCACTACACGAACTTCAGGAATAAAACAAACTGGGAAAGTTTCCTAATTCACCTTCTCTTCCTTGCATACAAAACCTCTTGGCAGGCTGCTTTCAAGATCTTTCCAAACTTAAACAGACCCAAAGTTCTAGCTGTGAGCAAAGAGGGCATTTGCTGTGGGAAAGCTTCAGAAGATGGTAAGCAAAGGATTTAATTAAGTCAGTCGTTATTCACTCCAGAGCTATTTTTTTTAATGATGAAAATCTCTATATTCAGGCACAAAGCTCTAATGGTAAAAAATGTCCCTGAAAGCCTCTTAACAGCCGTTGATAGCTCTAGACTGTTTTGAGTCTGTGTATAGAATACCTTCAGAAGAGTCACACCAATTTAAGCAGAACACACGCCCCAGGGACATTAGTCCTTTACCTAGAAAAATGACATTGGTGACACCATCCACTGTGCATGCTCTTTGAGAACGTTTTCCAATGGGGGGTAATTCTAAACTACATCTTCATGCCTTCATCCATTCTTTCAACCTGCTTATTGAGCACCTACTATGTGTCTAACACTGTTCCAGGCATGGGAAGCAGAGTCCGAGGACAGCCGAAGGGCCTGTCTTTGTGGACCCAACTGGACATCATCATTCTCAAGGCAACTGCTCAAACAGGTGGCAAAATAAGAAAGAAATTAAGTTCTTCCTCCTTCTTTTGGCAAACTGTTTTCTATATGTAGATTGTTGCCTCAAAAAGTAAGCAGTATGAGGAATGGTGGATGATAAGAACAGCTACGAAGTATTTTACCGATAAGTATAAATATGGGTCAACGTTTCTGCAGGCCAAAAGCCTTTTTTTTTTTAAAGCTTCTGGCAGAACCAGAACAAAGACATAAAGCCAGACTCTGGGTTGATAAAAAGTTGTTTATTTTTATAAAATTTAGTACAAATCTCACTGAAATATAAATCCTTCTTGAGCAGTGTTAATGACTATTACATAGTAATCTAAATGCAAATGAGTACTTCATGTGTCCAACCACACCACATGTTAATTAGCCCTTCATGTACCTCTCATGTACAGACTCAGCATCTTAACTGCTGAGTCACCTTCATTTCACATTTTTCTCTCAGCGAGTTTCCTTCAGAGTTTTCAGCTACAACAGCAAGAAAAGCTGAAATGAGGGATTCTCCTTCCCTTATCACTAGATAGGTTTCTCGAAATTCAAGAAACCTAAGTACGTTCCCCTAAAAGAGCAAGGTCTGCAATCCCTTCACTTCTGAGGTGGAAGGAGAGAAGAATGGTACCAGATTAAGTCTATTCATTTGTCTGGTGTGGGACAGCTTGCACTGTGCCAAAACTCAAGAGACGGCTTTTTCCTTTTCTTTTTTTTTTTTTCTTTTGTGCCAAGCCACTCTTTTTTTTTTTTTCTAACTAGGCTTTTGCTAAAATCAGCATTCTCCAGCATCCTACTTGGACCACAATTTTGTTGGAAAGAAGCTAACCAGCATTTCAGGGATACTGATCATAGAAAAAAAGAGATGGAGATGCTACTGTCAGATTATTCTCATGTCCAGCAAATCTCCTTAACCAGAAGACAGTCATTTTAAAAGACCCACGGTTAACATGCCTTTAAAGCCGCTTTTCTCAGAGCAATGATGACCTCATGCAGTTCCAACCACTTGGTCATACCTAGACAATGACGTCCATCTTCAAGACCACTCATTAGGCTAGGATTACCATTGAATGGGCTGATACTTCCTACTCACATCCAGCCTTGACTTCAACATCCCCATACCCTCGCTCATCAGCTGAGCTACTCGCTCACCACTGGTCTCAACAACGCAATCAAATGAATAAATAAACAGCAAACAAACAAATAAAACTTCCCTTTTTTCCCATAAAAGCCCTACATTAAAGACCTGCATTAATAAAACACCACCTAATGTCTCTGTGAAATTCACAACGGGGTATTTCCTTAATTGACAATGGGGTTTAAACTGAAGCAGAGTAAACAAGTGACCTGCCCAAATGATCTGGCAGGTGAGTAGCCAAACTAGTTCAAAGAAACGAAGAATTCTCGATTCCTAAGCCCTTCTTCTACACTTACGTTCTTGCTTTTCCTAGCTGAGAGACTACTGATTACGAAATATTTTTTCTTTCCAACACGGGCCTTGCCATGATATATTATCCAGAGAGAGTGGCACCTTTTCCAGAGAAAAAGTAGTAACAGGAGGAACAGGTAATGTATCTGAAATGGAGAAAAACAAATAGGCTCATCACCCTGAGGCCAGGACATTTGGTCTTTGGTTCTGGTTTGCAGTATGTATAGCAGAGCTGAAACCTGAACTGGCATCTCAAGCCCAGTGGAATCCACATGGTAAATCCCTATGGAATTCAGTCACAGCCTCTCATGCCTAGGAGATTAATGCACAAAAGCCCTGAGAACTGGCAGAGTTTTCCTGGTAGGGCAGAACTGGTACAACAGGGCCCGGTAAATCTGCCCACACCTCATTCATCTCTCATCCAAAGCTCTAGCTCTATGGTTTTTGTGCAGAAAAGAGTTAATATAGTAGGCCTGGAAAGGGCTGTTTGCAAGGTTGGCCCTTGGCTGACATCTGAAGACTTCGATTTCATTGGGAAGGTTCCCACATGAACTGATGAGACTGGCTCACTGGCTCTAAACTGTTTCTACAAACAATGTGGTTCACCGTGAAAACCTCCTTTCCTTCTGGGAGTCAGGAAAAGACTGCCTACATGACCAGCCCCCCATTAAAACCTTGGGTATTTAGCCTCTAACAAGCTTCCTTCTAGACATTTCACACATATTGCGAACAAATCGTTGCTAGGGGAATTAAGCACATCCTGCATGATCCCACTGGGAGAGGGCTCTGGAAGCTTGGGCCTGGTTTCCCCTGTACTCTGCTCCAGGTGCCTTTTCCCTTGGCTGATCTTTTGTTGTATCCTGTTGCTGTAATAAATCAAAGCTCTAAGTACAACTGCGTGCACTGCACCCAGCCTGAGGGTGATCTTGGGACCCCCAAGTACAGGGAGTCCTTTATGGTATATACCAAGTATATGGTATAGGGAGGCTCAGTAAGTAGCCCCACCCCCACCGTCACGGTTTCACCCACATCCTTCTCTCATCCTTCTGTCCCCCCATTCAATTTCCTCATCCAATGCTCAGAATGCCAAAGGCATGTATCTTCCTGAAAGTTCCTCACTTTATAGTAAATGAGGTGCATTTCTTTAAGCTGCTACACAGAAAGTAGGAAGAAGTATTTGTTGAAGGAGTCACTTCTCAAAGGAATAAGGAAGAAACAGCACTAATGCTTTTTGAGTTCCTTTCTAGGCTGTCTGATCACCAAGCCTCCCAGAGACAAAGAAGCCAGGGTCACCACAACTTAAAAGGAAGGCAGCATGCTCACCTCACAGTTCTGACTTACAACTACTGCTGGTAGTCTCACTTTCTACAACTGCACAGCTGCAGAAGTTAGTGTTTTAATACTGGGATGTGTCCCGCTCCAAGACTGACCAAACGGATGGATAAATTTAGCCCTTTTTAGAAACCTAAGCTCGTCATAAGCAGGATTCTGTAACAGCCATATCTCCAACCTGGTTCCCGTGGCTGACTTAACCCAATCCATTGTCTGGAGCAAGCCTTGGCTAGTGCATCTTGAGAAGTCCATTGTGTTTTACCTGCCGCTCCTCACTCCGCCTGCTTCTCCAGGTGTGGTACTTCTTGCTGCTTTTCCTCCATGCAAAACGCCAGATGCTAACCATGAAACACCAAGACACAGCATACATCGCAACTCCCCCGACCTTCACAAACCACTTGGGCTTGGGTGAGACCATTTCACAGAAGAGGAGGTGAGCTCCTACGCCAATCCTCACTCCAGTGAACAGAGCTGCAAAGAGGAAATCCACCACGTCTCCAGTGAAACTATGGTAATGGCCTGTTTCACGAAGAAACCAGCGCATCTGTAGCAAGGGATTGGTAATCTCGCTTCCAAAGAGGACTGCATTGACCTCTGTGCCTGACTCTCCAAGCACCAGGGCCATGATGATGCCCAAGATACTCAGTGTGTGGTGAGCCAGCATCAGGGCCCCCTCAGACTGGAAGTAGATGCACCAGCCCAAGTCGAAGATGAAGTAGCCCAAGGTGAAACACAGAACGTGCACTTGGAGAGGTGTATTGGGTGAGCCTGAAATAAACCAAGACAGAAGCAAATTGAGTGGCTGGGAATCGTGCTACCTTACGCAGAGATCCTGGGTTGCTCTTTCTCAAACTTTTCTGAATCACTGAAAACAATTGCAGGCACGTGCTTTTTAAGGCAACCAAAAAAAAAAAAAAAAACAAAACACTAAAACTTTGGTCTTTATCAAACCAATGTTACAGGGCCCAGGAAATGCTGTTCTGATGCACCAGATCTCAATGAGTGATTTAAGCACCAGCAATCATCTCAGCGTCCTCTCTGTGTAGCAGCATAAAATCCAGTTATTTTGTTCTTTCAATTAAAATCCTACACAGTCTCTTTCTTGTCTTTTTTTTTAACCAGCTAAAGCTCTGTTTCTAGACTCTTTTAGTTATTCTCTCCCACTAGCAGCAGATGCTAACTATTATATATAGAAGGGACAAACAACAAGGTCCTACTGTATAGCACAGGGAACTATATTCAATATCCTGTAATAAACCATAATGGAAAAGTTATTCTGTCCCAAATGTCAGATTAATTTCTTAGCTTAATGGATTAGATTATTGGACATTGGTGGCCCTAACTCGTCTTGAAAGTGGACTCTGGAGAGAACCCCAAAAGTGAGTATGTTCCCATGTCCAAGAACATAGAGTGCAAGGACCTGACATGTTTTGAATCCATTAAGAGCCTTCATATAAAATATAAAGCTTAAGAGTTGCTTCCTATCAGTTTGACAGTTTGGGGGAAATTTCAGAAGCTCAATATGGGAATCTAAAGAAATTATAAAAAGAAAGAATCTAAGGAATTAAAAAAAATCATATTCTAGGGAACTTATGGACTGAATTATGTCCCTCCAAAATTCGTATGTTGAAGCCCTAAACTCCAGTACATGTGACTATATTTGGAAATAGGGCCTTTGAAGAGGTGATTAAGTTAAAATAGGGATGTTAGGGTAGTGTTCTTATAAAACAAGGACATTAGGACTAGGATGTAGATAGGCACAAAGGAAAGACCATGTGAAGACACAGCAAGAAGGCAGCTCTGCACGCAAAGGAGCAAAGCCTCGGAAGAAATCAAACCCGCCAACACCTTGATCTTGGACTTCTAGCCTCCAGAATTGTGAGAAAATCAATCTCTGTTGTTTAAGCTACCCAGTCTGTAGTATTTTGTTATAACGGCCCCAGCAAACTAATTCAAGGGGATATAGGTTTTGTATTCTAAGGGAGTAACACTTGTATCAGTACATCTAGCAGCTTAAAAATTAATATAGCTGCCCCCAAATAATGCGGCATTGGTTAAATAAAAGATAGTAAATGCATACAACACAATATTATATAACAACTGAAATGGATAAGGAAGATCTATATATATAGACATGGAAAGATGATGTCCTTTGAATATACAATCAAGTAAAGATTGCAGGTTACCAAAAAGTATGTTTAATGAAGTCCATTAGTGTCTGTTTGGGGCTGGTGGTAGATGTTGATATTAGCTTTATGATTTATACATTTTGGTCGATTAAATTGTGAAAAGCAATTAAGATTTGTTTTAAAAATAGAGAGTTATGAAAAGCAGAAACAATAGGTGACACATACAAATCAGCATTCACAATGAAGATGAATGGAGACTCCCAAAGCACATTATAATAGTAATTATTCTTCAATATTCTTCAGTATTATACAAATTCTGTGGAAAAGTCCCATCCTTCTAAGACTACCCCCAAATCATAAATCCCTAAGGGAAAACTCTCTAATGTCTCCCACCTACCTGGGTGGGTAAAAGGCCAAGGGCCATCAATGAAGCCAATATAAGCTGAGAGACCTATCGAGAGGACTCCGTGGGTGAACGTAACCAGCCGGCAGCTCCACTCATAGCTTCGGTGATTATTCAGGCGACAGAAAGAAATGTAGAGCGAGAGCCAGCCCCCCAGGCTGCACAGCGCCTGCAGACACAGAGCTAAGGCCATCCTACGATGAAAAGACCAAAACCAGAAAAACAAAGGATGCACCCTAAGAAAACAGCATTGGGTCATTTTGTGTATACGTCTTCATTTCTACTCTAAGACAGTACAAAAATATTGCCTTCCCGGAAACACTTTTTCCTTATCTACAGAGCCAAGAATCTTCTACTGAAGCGTGGCTGTATTTCTGATTGCGTGTTCCTTAGAGATAACTGGTCAAAACTGTAAACCGAAAAGCAGGAACTGCATTCTGAGTTAGCAGATGGTCTAATATGGTATATGTTGTTATGATGAGTAAATGTCAATAACCTCCCAGTGATGACTGACCTTGGACTACAATACACAAGTAATTTAATATGTGTATTAGATAATGTGTTCATATTTCAAAAATCTCAATAAGAAGCCCTCACGGAAAAACACCTCCACCACTTGTGGTCTCTGCTAGAAGTCATATGACACATGGCAGTTTAATGTGGTTTTAAGCTGATACTAAACTCAACTGAAGTCTGGGTTTGGATCATGGGTTTATCAGTCAAAATCAAAACTTGAGGTAAACCTAAAGACAGAACTAAACAAAGACCTAAATAGTTTGGAAGGGAAAAAAAATAAACTCCTAGTTCTATTCAGTTCTGAAATCCAACTCAAAGATTGACCAAGGGGGAAGCAGGATTTTGAGGTACAAGTGGGGAGTTTTTGTTAAGATATAAAAATATCTTTAAGACAATTATTTAGTTAAAAATAAAACAACGTCAGAAAGCCACTGACTGAAATTTTTACCGGTGATAAATGTTTCAGGACAAGAATGAGTGTAATGGAGTCAATATAGTCAGATAGGACTAAAATCTGAAAATAGCCAAGATGTCCTTATTAATATTCATTAGCTCCTCTATTGAAAGTACAAATAAAAAAGTAAAAAACATTTCAGATATCTGTCTCATCTCAGCAGGAATTTTCTGCATGGCTACACTTATTGCTTAACCCTATTCTGACAAGTGAAATAGTATCTGTGGACCAACACACTTCAATACACAAGCCACTCCCAAGAATGCTATCCAGAGAGGGCTTTATGAAGGTCAAGTGCTGTACAGCTTTCATCTGAAATCAGATTAGAAAACAGCAGTTGTCAGTCATTGACCTGAGTTCCAGTTCTGTCTTTGCCCCTAAATAGCTATAAGAGTTTGAGCAGTCACTTACACCTCCTGAGACTCAGTTTAAAAAAAAAAAAAAAAAAGAGAGAGAGAGAGAAGAAAGGAAAGAAAAAAGGATTGAAAATAACTCTATGATCCGGCCCAGTTCTGACAAGGAGTTCTGAGATAATTTCGTAAAACATCCAGGCCAATTTTCAGAGCAAGGGCCAGAGGTACAAAGGACCCAGAGTGAAAAGAACTGTCCTCTCTCACTTCCTTTTAAAGGCCAGGGTCACCGGCCAGTAATGCGGATCAGCTCATTTGGATATGCCGATTAGTATTTTTAGAGTCCTCTTCCCTGAATCCTAATTCCCTGGCAGAACAGAGGACACGGTAGCCCATTTACAAACAAATAAAAGAATGGACATTTATAAATGGCAGATACAACTCTGTGACCTTGGGAAAGTCACTCCATCTCCGCGTTTCGGCTTTTCACTCTTGGGTGAAAGAATGACAGGGTATTTAGATGGCCGATGGCCGTTCCAGCTCAGAATTCCAAGGCTCCTGTCCTTGCTCCTCCCGGTCCAGGGCCAGATTCGGGAGGAGGAGCGCTGGGCGGGCCCACCTGGCTCTGGGCCTCGGAGCAGGCGTGGCTGGAGCGAGCAGCAACCTCGGCGCCTGGCAGGCACCGCGAGCGCATCTCCCCCGGACGCGCCTACCTACACTGTGGTCACGCCCGGCTTGGGCACACCTGAGCCGGACCGCTATGCCAGCATCCCACCCGGCGCCCGCAGGCAGAAGGAACCCCCCTCCCCTCAGAGGCCAGGCCAGGCCATCTGCCCGCTTCCTTCCCCCGCAGCGGACCGCGCAGGCCGGGCCATCCACGTCCGGAGCCCATCCCGGCCGCGGGAACCGGGCGGTCCCCGCCGCGCAGTTACCTGGCCGAGCGCCCCGGGAAGCCTCGGGAACCCCGGCCCCGGGGTTCAGGGCCCGGATCCCGGGAGCAGGAAGCAGCGGAAAGAGGGAGAGAGGACGAGGCTCTGACGGCTGCAGAGGAGGAGCCGGTGGTCTGGGGGCACCTGCTGGCTGGGAGGACGGAGCGCACAGCCAGAGCTGGACCAGAGACTGTTCAGAAAGCGGGCGGGAGGGTCCTCCTTCTACGCGCAGGCCTGAGGGGGCGGGGCGGTGGTGGTGAGGGGTGATGATGACCTAGTGGTGACGTGAGACCTGCAGGCTGTTGCCCTTGCTTATGTGTTTGTTTGTTGTCTGTTTGGTAGAATAAATATCCATCCCCTCCCCCCACGATGGGACAGCCCATCCCATAACCAGTTGTAGAGCACCTACTAAGTGCTTGCACCCCTGCTAGGCACTGTGTGAGATGAAAGACATAGTCCCTGCCTTCACGCTTGAGTCTAAGTTGTGAAACAAGCACACGAATAACTAATTTCCAGGGAAGCGCTCAGGCCTGAAAATTAGAGTTACATATTCCTTCTCATGTCAACCCTGTCACCAACTTGGCAGTAGAGTATAAGGCTTGAGGGTAAACCTGGCTCCGTTACTGACTGTGTATTTTTGGACAAGTTACTTTTCTGTGCCTCCGTTTTCTCATTCATAGAATGGGGATAATAATAATAGCTGTCTCATAAAGTTATTGCAAGCATTCTACACACTTTTCATGTGGAAAGTGCTTACAGCAATGGCTGGTGCATGGAAGTCGTTATATGAATGTTAATTATTGTTGTTGTTACCTCACTTTGGGTTAATCCTCTCTCCTCTCTGGATCTGTTTTAATACCAGGGAAAGTAAGTTTGAAGAGATAACCAAACATAAGTGTGGAGATGCAAATGGGGTAAAAAGAGCATCTGAGTTGGTTGATCAGGACAGGCAAAGGTAGGATGCTGAGAGGCCCAGACATTCTTAAGAAGAGAAGACCTTGAGCAGAATTGTGAGCATTTAGGCCATGTCTGGGAAATAATAAATAGTCTTGTTTGGGTCATTTGTCTTGCCAGCCCTTTAAGAGTAAGGATCACACTCTTTTCATTTTTGTTTCCCTAGTACCTGGTACAGAGGCAGGTGCAATAAATGTTTGCTGGTTGAATGAATGGGCAATGAGCCTGGAAATGTATATTGGAAGCATACTGAAGCTCCTAAACCTTAATGACCATCTAGACCACTTGGGAAGTGTTTTCAAAATACCCTTTGTTCAGGCCGCACCTTGAAGGTTGTGCTTTAGTAGGCTTGGTGTGACGCCCAGGAATCTGTATCTTTGAAAATCTGCCCATAGATCTTCAGATGATTAGTCACATTTGGGGACCACTGATGTTTAAGGACCTTAAATGACTGATGCCAGGCTAAGATGCCAGGCTGAGGCATCTTATTATGCGGATAATAGGAAACCTATGATGATATTGGGCAAAGGGAATAATTTTACCATGCTCTCCAAGTCCTTGCTACTGAAAGTCTGGTCCAGGGACCAGCAAAATCAACATCACCTGAGAATTTGTTAAAAACACAAAATCTCAGACCCTAACCCCGGATCTACTGAATCAGAATCTGCATTTTAACAAAGTCCCCAATGATCTGTATGAACATTCAGGCAGTGGTTCTCAACCTTGACAGAACAATAGAATCACTTGAGGAGCTGTTTAAAATCCCGATTCCCTGGGCCACATCCCAGACAAAGTAAATCAGAATCTGTGTGAGTGTCAAATTTTTTTTTCAAGTTTCCCAGGTAATTCCATTGTGTAATCAAAGTTGAGAATCACTGCCATATAGAGACTCAATGAAAATCAGTATAAGACTAGTTGGAAAAGACCAGATAAGAGATAGTAATAGCCTGCAGGAAGAAAACAAGGAAAGATCCATTTCACTAAATGAACATATAGTATGCACATCTCAACTTTTTCCCCATTTGTTTTTGTTGCAGTGTTGTTTTTTTCTCCTAGTATCTGAATCTGGAATTACCTTCTTGCTGCCACCATTTCCCAGGAAAGAACAGAGTACATATTAAAGGCTTCAGGAGTCTAAAGACTGAGGGGATAAGGGAAGGTGCTAGTTCTTCCAGTGGAGCCTTTATTGGGCCTTTATCCTGGGGTGACTGGGATTCCAGGTTCAAGCTCCATTACTTGGGATTAAATTTTATTAATTCACATATCTTTGGCCACAACCCTTGTTCCACCAAATCATATGCTTGTCAACTGTGGTGTCCCCCAGGAAAGTTCTGGGCTGTTAGAGAGAGCAGAGGACAGGAAACTCTCCACCAATTTATTTGAATAACAATAATATCATAATAATCAGGATAATAACAGATAACACTTATTAATGTATCAGGCATTGTTCCAAGAACTTTACATATATATATATTATATATATATAATATATATATTCATTCATTTAATTCTCACAACAACTCTACGAGATGGCTACTGTTGTTATCCCCATTTTACAGGTGAGAAACTGAGGCACAGAGCACTTGAGGAACTTGCTCAAGGTGACATGATTAATAGGAGGCAGATTTGGGTATGAACCCAGGCGATATGGCACTGGAGATCACGCTCTTAACCACCAAGATAGTCTGCCTCCACTACAGATGGTACTATATTTTTCTATATTCATAGCTCCTAACATCAGTGAAAGGCACTAGAAGTTGTTTAGAGGTTGAAAGAAAGCATTCAACTTTTAAAAACCTGAATTGCATATTATGTACTAGTCGCAGTGCTAGTCATGGGAATACAGAGAAAAAGACAGACTCAGCTACAAGGAGCTCCCCACAGTCTAGCACTAGAAGCAGGCGAGTCAGCAAAACCAGTCCATGAATGTAGCATGGGGATGCAGAGTGCACAGGGAGAAGAGGCACTGAACCGGCAACCTGGGGCCTCAGGACAGGATTCCTAATTTGAGTCTACGACTAAACTCATTCTCTGAGTTGGACCAAAAGCCCTTAGTATTGGGTGCCCACAGCTGGGCCCACCAGTCTTGAGTCAACTAAAGATCGAAGTTTTGCAAGTGCAAAAAGCAGCGGCAACAATTCTTTTTCCCTTCCTTCCTCCTAAACAATGACTGGTTGTTGCCCTTTGATTCTCTTGTGCCTAATTAGATGCTGAAGAAGCTGACCAGGCTTCTGTTAAACTTGACTGGAATGATGAGTTTTACAGAATCTTGCAGACATGAAATGTGAATTGGTACCCACCTTCAGGTTTGACTCTGTTCAGCAACTGTCCAAGGCAATGGACAATGGAAGCTACGGGAGGCTGAGCAGTTAGACTGTAATTCTGTTTATTTCTTTCATGAAAACCATGGTCAAATAGACCCCCGTAAATACAGTCAACTGATCTTTGACAAAGGAGCAAAGGCAACACAATGGGACAAAGGTAGTGTCTTCAACAGATGGAGCTGGAACAACTGGACATCCACACGTGAAAGAATGAACCTTGACTCAGACTTTACACCATCACAAAAGTTAACTCAAAACGGATCACAGACCTAAATGTAAAACACAAAACTATAAAACTCCTAAAGATAACAAAGGAGGAAACATACATGATGCTGGGTGTGGTGATGCCTTTTTAGATACAACACCAAAGACAACCCATGAAAGAAATAATTAGCAAGCTGGACTTCATTAAAATTAAAGACTTCTGTGAAAGACAATATCAAGAGAATGAAAAGTCACAGACAGGGAGAAAATATTTGCAAAAGACAATCTGATAACGGACTGTTACCCAAAATATACAAAGAACTGTTAAAACTCAACAGTAAAAAAAAACAAACAACTTGATTAAAAAATGGGCCAAAAATCTTAATAGACACCTCACAAAGAAGATACACAAATGGTAAATAAGCATGTGAAAAGTTGCTCCACATCATGTCATCAGGGAAATGCAAATTAAAACAAACAATGAGATACCATTATACACCTATTAGAATGACCAAAATCCTGAACACTGACAACAAAGGCTGGTAAGGATGTAGAGCAACAGGAACTCTGGTAATGTTACTGGTGGGAATGCAAAGTGGTACAGCCACTTTGGAAGACAGTTTGGTGGTTTCTTACAAAACTAAATATACTCTTACCACACGATCCGACAATCACGCTCCTTGGTATTTACCCAAAGGAACTGAAAATTTATGTCCACACAAAAATGTGCATGCAGATATTTATAGCAGCTTTATTCATAATTGCCAAAATTTGGAAGTAACCCAGATGTCCTTCAGTAGGTAAATGAATAAATAAACTGTGGTACATCCAGACAAGAGAATATTATTCAGCATTAAAAAGAAGTGAGCTAGCAAGCTCATGAAAAGACATGAAAGAAACTTGAAGGCATATTACTACATAAGCCAACCTGGAAAGCCTGTATACTATGATTCCAACCATGTGACATTCTGGGAAAGGCAAAACTATGGAGACAGTAAAAAAGATCAGGGCTTCCCTGGTGGCGCAGTGGTTGCGAGTCCGCCTGCCGATGCAGTGGACACAGGTTCGTATCCCGGTCCAGGAAGATCCCACATGCCGCTGAGCGGCTAGGCCCGTGAGCCATGGCCGCTGCGCCTGTGCATCTGGAGCCTGTGCTCCGCAACGGGAGAGGCCACGGCAGTGAGAGGCCCGCGTACTGCCAAAAAAAAAAAAAAAGATGCGTGGTTGTAAGGGCGTAGCAGGGAGAGAGATGAATAGGTAGAGCACAGAGGATTGTTAGGGCAGTGAAAATACTCTGTATGATATTATAATGATAGATCTACATCATTATACTATTGTCCAAAGCTGTAGAATGTACACCACCAAGAGTGAGCTCTAAGGTAAACTATGGACTTTGGGTGATTGTGATGTGTCAGTGTAGGTTCATTCTTGGTAAAAAAATTTTACTTTCTCGTGAGTGATGTTGATAATGGGGAAGGCCACGAACGTGTTTGGGCAGGAGGTCTATGGGAAATCTCCACAGCTTCCTCTTAATTTTGTTGTAAACCGAACACTGCTCTTAAAAAATAAAGTATTTTTTAAAGGGTCAAATGAGTGAAAACCAGCCTCATGGACAGTGCAGGACATCAGCTTTCAGCACTCACCTGAGCAAGATGTCAAGGTGGCCAAGACTGCTGCAGGAAAGCATCAGCTCCGGCACCCAGGAGTATGCAAGGAACAGTGCATACATATGTGTGTGTGTGTGTGCACAGATATGCACAGCTGGGCTCATGGGTGGCAGAGTAATTTCTTTACATACTTTAATTATTGCTGCAGGCTCCCCTTGTTTCTTTGACACATACCGAGCCTCTTTCAACTGGATCTTTTCTTGACAAAGTAACCACTACCAACAGGCTTTCTTCCACTTCATGACATGAAATACGAGTCTTAGTATAAGCCCCATCCAAACATGAAAAGCACTTAACTTATGGTTATTTAGGTATGGATTTCTCCCTTGGATATTAGTATTTGCAACAAATGTTTAATGCCAATTTTAGTTTCTTCCCTTCAGTCATTACATTTTTGAAGGGCCTCCCTTTCCCACCACAGGTCAATGTTTGCCTCAAAAATGGTAACTCTTTAACTTTTTATTAACCCAAGAAAAACCACAGGGATAGCCTCCTTGCCCCTCAACCCTCTCATCAAAAGTCACAGTGCATTCCAAAGCCAAATAGATTTGACTTTTGAATTATCCCTTGTCTCAAATATCTATCACTTTCCATTGCGAATAATGAATAATTGACCTTCAGGACATCCTGAGATATGAACTATTAGCCTCAGTCTTCACCTCTTAAAGTCTACAAATGACTTGACCTTAAACATTTTCCATTCTCCCACTTACAAAATGAGGAAGCCAATCTCTCACCTACTCTGTCCTCAAGGCTCTTCTGTCAAAAAAGAGTAGAAACTCTGAACTCTTTGGAGTCCTGTATTAATGTATATCATCTTTAGCATCAGTTCAGGGAGTCACAGACTTAATCCACCAACGTGAAACCCTTTCTCCATCCCGTTTCATTACACGCACTCACATGTCCTGCACAAAAAAAGACCCAGAATAATCTAAACCTCTTCTTGCCAACAGTGGAATACTGTATATCATCACCATACAAATTTATTTAGGAACAGAGAGATTCCTTTGAATCTCATCATTTTCTTGGACATGCCGTCTCTAAAAAAAAAAAAAAGTTACCATTTCTGGAATGGCTTCATGTTACATGTTTACACACTGGCCCACAAAGAAGGAGACTCGAGAAAGAATGTTCCTGCAGAAATCAACAAGGATTCCCAGCCCACGTGGGAACTCTTGTGGAAGCTAGCATGGTATTTCACACTTTGGTATTGTTTTTCCTTTCTTTTTCTTTCTTTTTTGTTAAAGAAGATAAAATATTACAGAGATCTTCAAAATTCACACCTGAGTTAAATATTTTGCTGGAAAATTCCACACTAAAGAGAGAAGAACATAATGCAAAAAAAGGAAAGGGCTATACACAGGTATTTACCAGCATAATTGTTGCGTGTGTGCTTTTGTGTTCTTCCTTCTGCACCAGGAGAAGGGAGAGAGGACGAGATAAGGAGAAATACAGGAAAGGAGAGAAAGAACAAGCGTTTCTGAACTCTGGGGCAGACGGAGCAGACAGAAGAACACCTGTGGGCAGAGCATGTGCCCAGGGGGCTGAGTGTGGCTCAGCGTTCTGTAAAGAGGAGGGAATTCGGAGAACGCAATCATGATGGATGTGGTTCTGGAAAAGGGGCGGGGCTAAAGAGAAAATAGGGTGACGTGAAGACTCAGTCAGAAGGCTTTGCTGAACAGAGAAGACATCAGAGCTTTGGTGGAGACATCAGATTCAAATCTTTTCATAGATTCTAGAATCAGTTCGGAGATTGTGGCTAAGTTCAGAGTCAAAACCTTCTCACCCCTCTGGTGGTTTGGCACCAGGCAAATGGCTGTGCCCAGAATGAGCTGGAGATGAGCTGGAGAATAATGACAAGAGGTCCTTTTTTTTTTTTTTTTTTTTGCGGTACGCGGGCCTCTCACTGTTGTGGCCTCTCCGGTCGCGAAGCACAGGCTCTGGACGCGCAGGCTCAGCAGCCATGGCTCATGGGCCCAGCCTCTCTGCAGCATGTGGGATCTTCCCGGACTGGGACACAAACCCGTGTCCCCTGCATCAGCAGGCGGACTCTCAACCACTGCGCCACCAGGGAAGCCCAAGAGGTCCTTTCTGAAAGACCACTGTCGCAGTGAAGCCATCTGACATATTTGGAATGAGAGGAGAAGGGCACAGGCAAGGAAGGTAAAAATGGTCAACTCCTAGGCGGGCTGTGCGTTTCAAGAGCGCTAGGGAGCCAGCACATGGTTCGGTCGCAGTTTGGATCTCCAGAGGCCCTTGCTCCTGAACAAGGCAAGAGTTTGGGTTCATTGATAGTGGAGATTCTCTTCTACTGTCCTGAAAGTAATCTGTCCATACAGAGAAGGCGTGACTCCCTTCCTTCCAGTGGGGAATACAGGGCCAGGTGGCATAGGAGTAACTTTTTTGGTCTCAGTGGAGGTAGGTGGGATGATTCCATCGGTACCAAGATCTAGAAGGAAGGAAGAAACAAGTCAGTTGGACAGCTTCTAATGAGGAGGGAAGATGGGAATGAGCAGTGAGTGTTAGCAGGTAGGTATGGGGTGGGGGGTGATGAAAATGTTCTGGAATCAGATCGTGGTGACAATTGCACAACCTTGTGAATAAACTAAAAAGCAGTGACTTGTACACTTTAAAATGGTAAATTTTATGGAAAGTGAATTATATCTCAAGACAATTCTTTAAAATGTACATTATATGTTTTTCTCTCTCTCTCTTTTTCTTTTTTGGTGGAGACAGCTGAGGAGCTCCAACCTTTAGGGCTGTGCAACAATTGGCCCATAAGGGGTGGCTGCCTTGCTGAACAGTCTGGGTGTGGACAAGCGGGTTCACGTCTTCCGACAAGCTCAGGTCTTCAACCAATCGCCTAACTTGCAAATCTCTGTTTTGTTCTGAATCGGGGAAGGATCTCTCGAGGCATCCGCTGAGAGCGCCTCTTAGAGTAGATTCTTTGCTTCATTAATCAAAGATGGGAGGCTGCTTTTCCCGCTGCATCCCGGGTGGGAGCATGAGGTTACGGGGTAGCACCCTCCTGCTCTCACGGTGTCAGCCACGCTGGAAGCTCAGGCTCGGGGCAGAACACCCCAGAGCGGAGGGGCTGGCCTGGAGGGTAACTCTCCTCAGCCCAGTGAAGGACCTGGCCCTTTCTGACAGGAGGGTTTGGAAATTTCCACCCTCCCAGTGAGGAGGGAAATGTTGGCTTTGTTGACATCAGCTCCTTGCCAGGACTGCTCACTGGCTAAGGCTTCTCTTTTAAATCCCACTCCCTAGGGAGAGAGTCCAGTCTGGCGCTCCACCCTGCCCCCTCCCTGCCCCCCCATTCCCCTTGTCCAGCCCCGTGACAAGCTTTCCTTCCCAAGGTGTTGACCCAGACGCAGCTTCTCACATGTCCCTCGGCCCCGCTGAGGTATCTCTGGGCTCGCCCCTCTGCCTCACCCTGAAGAGTTAAAACTGGTGGAGGAGTTCACAGCCGCTTTGGAGTTATTTTGAGATGCAGTAGGGCTGCTGGCGTGGAGTCCTGGGCCAGGAGACGAAGGCCTGCTGTTGTTCCCAGAGGGGCAGGATGACGTTACTGAGAACAAGGAGAGGCAAAAACAAGGGGGAAACAATGAGGCTGGGCCTGGGGACCTCGTGACATTCAGACACGTATCCTCCAAGGGGGCTCACCCTGTCCCTACCCGCCACCCATCTGCCCAACTCCTACCATGTTAGCATCGACACCCGGCCCCAAAGGGGCCCTCCTCATACACGCTCTCCTCTGCCCGGGCCCTGGAGAGCGGCGTGGCTGGTTCTGCGAGTCCCAGACTAGCCGAACGCAGGAGATACAGATGCCAAAATCATCCTACTCCAGGACACGCCCTGGGCTGGGCATACGCAGCCCCGGACCACGGGGCAGGATGAGCAAAAGAACCAGAAGCCTTGGAAAGGAAGAGAGGAGGAAAGAAAGCAAAGTGCTCGGGGAGGAAAAGAGAAGCCGAGAGCACAGGTAAAGACGGCCAGCCTCTCTGATGTTGCCATCTCCAGATGGTTCGTGGTCTTCCAGAAAGAACACAACCAGGAGTGAGGAGTCCTGGGCCATTCACTAAGCAGCTCTGTGGCCTGCGGCAACTTGTTTCACTTCCCCGCATCCCCTTGCATCCCCTTTTCGACCTCTGTAATATGGCAGGTTTGGATTAAACTGTATTTGAGTTTCCCAAACAGCATTCCGTGGAGAAGGTGACATATTCACCCTCCAAGCTAAGATGCTTTGAAGGGTCGAAGGCACTGCTATCGATAATTATGTCAGGACAAGGGACAGTCATATGGTCATCCTCTCTAGCTCTTTGAAATGCTTTGGAATACTCTTTGAAAAATAGAGTTCTGTAGAAAATTGGTTTGGAAAACCCTGCCTTCCATACAGCTCATTTGTATGGAGAAACTGCGACAATTAAAACAAAAACAAACACTTGTTCAAACGTTGCCTACCCAGCATTGCCCAAACTTACTTGATCACAGAAGCCTTTTCTTCCTAGCACAGATTTTAACATCTTTTGAAATATGTTTTGGGAATGCTGACTTAGGTAGGTACCTCTCAGTTCTAGTATCCCATTATTTAAAAGAATTCTGGTACTATTCAGAAACCTCATGTTTAGAGCTCACCTGTTCCAGGCATGCTGCTGTGGACAGGAGGGACAGAGAGGGGTCCCAGAGACCCAGAGGGAGACACCTGAAAGGCAACAGAAGCTTATAAATGTCCACTTCTGCTTCCTTTTCCCACCTCTCGCACTTCTCCCAGGATGCTGGGCCCCAGACTCTGCAGAGACAGGGCTCAGCTTCCCGGATGATTTCCTAATCCCAAACCTGCACTCTGTGCCTTGTTTCACAGGAAGGTCTCTGGACCACGTACAGCACCCAGCTCTGGCTCTGCCCTGCTCCCGCGTCTCCCTGCTGCTGACACCAGGCCCTGCCCTCCCTGCTGCGTGTCCCCTGGCAAGGTCTCTTGGGCACTGCCAGGCTGAAGCTGCCCTGCTCAAGTGCTCCGGTGATAAGAGGAGCATGCCTCCTGGACCCCGCTGTGGCTGACACTGCTGGATGGCTGCCTGTCTTCCAGTCCCTTCTTCTTCCTTTTTAAAAAAGTATTTATTTTATTTTATTTATTATTTATCTATTTCGGCTGCACCGGGTCTTATTTGCGGACTTCTTAGTTGCGGCATGCGTGTGGGATCTAGTTCCCCGACCAGCGATCGAACCCCGGGCCCCCTGCATCGGGAGTGTGGAGTCTTATCCTCTGGAGGACCAGGGAAGTCCCTCTTCTTCTTTCTTAAAAGACCCCTGCACTTGCTCAGGGCAGCAGAGCCCCCAGCCCTCACCACCCTGTTTCAGGCTTCCCATCTTGACACGTGAGTAGACCATCCACTCTCCCGAGGTAACTGGACGAGATGAACTGCGGTCTCTGAAGCCTTTCATCTCGCCCTGGATACCTCACAGCATCATCAGCTCTGAGTTTGGAAGGGACCTAAGATGACTTGGCTTAACCTCCCACACAGTTCAGGGATCCCCTCCCTCAGTATGACTATCCTAGCACAACCTGGAACAAGATATAATAAAAAGAATAGACATTGTGGCCCAACAGATCTGGCGGGGAGCCCTGGCTCCACCACTGTCTGTGTGATTTGGGCAAGTCACTTAACCCCACTGAGATTTGGTTTGCTCATCCGTAAAAGAGCAGTAATACCTCCCTCATATTTTCTTTTAATTAAGATTTAATGAGATAATGTCCGTAAAGCTTCCAACTCAATGCCTGGCAAACGGCGCACGGCTGTTAGCTCCCTTCCTTCCAGCAGGAAGCTGTCAACTGTCGTGTGTTTCCAGCTAGAAACTGTTTATTTCTTCATTTGAGCTGAACCCTGCATACTTTTCCTCCCCCTTATTCTTCTCATGCTGACCTGGGACGCTCAGATCGACCTTTACAAAGGACCTTGCAAGGAAGTTCTGCTCAGGGAGCTGGGATTGGCCATCCTCCCCTCCCCAGTTTGGAACATCCCATCCCGACAGGATGCAGCATGTACTCATTTCCTAATTAATCAGCAATGGTTCTGCTGCTTTCGTTTACCTGCCCTTTTACAAGGAGCGTCCTCAGTCGGCTGGGGCCCACCAAGGGTGGAGACAGGTGTGGAGCAGCGTGGTAAGAGGTAAGAGATGTTACTGATAATCTCCCTCTCTCTTCTCCTCCGCCCCTCCCTGCTGCCACACCCCCAGACATTTGTTGTTGTTTTTAAATAAATAATGATTTAGTCACTGCGACCAGCTTCTTCTGCTTCCTTCCGGAGATGGACTATACATATGCAAGCAGACATAGATGTGGTTCCTTTAACATTTTGTATATAAATGGAAGCATTCTGTGCACACTGGTCTGAAATATATTTTGCCTTTTTCTTTTCCTTCCTTCTCTCTCTGTCTCATTCTTTTTTTTCCCCTTAACTGTGTATCTTAGCGATCATTTCACATCAGAAGCAGAAGGAACTATGTCTTAGTCCCACGGACAGTGTCCCAATGAGACCTGAGGAGAAGACAGGATTAGAACATTTTCTCTAGTCTTCCTTCAGGATGCCACAAGTATTAATGTGATTATTTATTTAACATCTTTCTCCCCCACTAGGCTGGGGAATTCATGAGGGCAGGATGATGCCTGCGTGGTCCCCTGCTGTGTCCTCAGTGTCTACTGCAGTGCCTGGAACTTTGCGGGTGTTAAGTCAATATGTGTTGAATGCACGATGAGAACCCATGACACTCCTTTACGGCACCTCCATGCCTCCCACCACTTTCCTCCACGTTGGTGTCCCAGGCTGGGATTGAACCAAAGTGATAACTGCCTCCCATCTATTCTAAACAAAGCCCCATCTTTAAAGATTCTGACTCTCTTATGACATGGTTCAGGTTCCTTAACATGGTCTACAACGCCCTACATGATTCCCCCGCCTACCACTCCAGCTTCCTCTTTCACACACTCTCTCTCACTCCTCGGGTTCCATTCCAACCTTCTTTCTTCCTCTCCCCACCCACCCCAGCCTCAGAACCTTTGTACACACAGTTTCCTCTGCATAGAATGTCCTTCCTGACACTATCTCCACCCTTCCATCCTGTCTCCCACTGCAACTCAGACCTTTTCCCCATTCAAGTCTACTCTTTCTTCTGCTGTCAATTTGAGCATCATTCCTGGAGAAGCCCCTGACATCTGGACTAAGTTAGGTCCCTCAGATACCCACACATCTTATCTGGAGGCTTCATCACAAATTGCATTTGTTTAATGTCTGTTTTCCTTGCTAGACTCTCAGCAGAGATCACCAATAAGTATCCTGTGCACCACCATATCCCAGTGCCAAACAGAAGGTGGGTGCTCAGTAAGTATTTAAGACAGGAATGGTGAATGAATATCACATTGTCCCCAACCTAAAACTGTCAACGGTTCTTCATATCTTTGAGAGTAATTTAGCATCCACGACCCACCATGATCTAGCTCTCATCAACCTCTCTTAGTCCTAAACCCTTAGCTCCAGCCAGACCAAAAGGCTTGTGATTCCCCAAATGCATCACGTTGTTTTATAATTCCATGCCTCTCACACACCGTTCCTTCTGCCAGCTATGCTGTTCTTTTTGCTAACTCCTAATCTGTTCTCCAAACAAATCAGGGGGTTAGCCCTCCCACACCCCATTCTGATTTGGGGGTCTTTTATCTGTGTTCCCAAAGCACTCTTGCAGGGCTCTTCGCATCTGCATCACCCCTCCATCTACTTCATTGCAATTTTTTGCATTTTCTGGTTCCTCCTTCTCAGTTTCTTTCCTTGGTGCTCTCCCTTTGCCCATCCCTCAAAAGCTAGTGTTCCCCAGGGTTGAAACCTCAACTTTCCTCTTTGCTTCTTCTGTACAAACTCCACAGGTGAGCTCCTCCTTACCCAGGATTCCAACTACCACCTGTGTGCTTACGACTCCCAGCCCATTTCTCTACCTTAGCCTTTCCTCCTGACCCCCAGACCCATTATTCCAAGTGCCCGGGGCATTCCCACTTGGGTGTCCCACAGGCCTCTCTGTATATCGTAATGATGTAAAGGATTGAAATCATCATTTTTTCCTGCTCCTAAGCCAGCTCCTCCCCCTGTGTTTCATTGTTCCGTCTACAGCACCAGCTTCTACCCAATCAGCCCAGCCTGAATGCTAAGAGTCATCCCAGAGTATTCTCTTTCCTTTCTCGCTCTCCCTGCCCCACCCAGTTTTCCATTTATTAACCAAGACCTAATAATTCTACCTTCTAATTATCTCCTGAATCTCTCCCATCCCCTTCATTCTTACCAAATGGGTTTGCTTCAGCCCTTATAAGGTCACTGCTGGATAACTGCAGTCACATCTAACTGGTCTCTCTGAAACCAGATGTGATGCCTCTCAAACCACCCTTTATAACTACAGTCAAAGTGATCGTTCTAAAAAGCAATCAGATCACACTAATGCCCTCCTTCACGTCCTTCGGCAACTCCCCAGGGCTTCAAGTTCCTTAGCCTCGCTCACAGCCCCTTGTGTCTGGCCCTTGCTGATCTATCCAGCCTCATCTTTCAACATTCCTCCACGTGGAACCACCGGCCATTCCGTGCATGTGCTCTCTTCTCCCTCCTCCATACCACTGTTCTCATACTATCCCCCTGGGGGAATTCCACCCCTCACTTATTTGCCTCTTCACTCCTCCTTGTCTTTTTAGACTCAGCTCAGGTATTAATTATCTCCTTGGGGAAGCCTTCCCTGACCACCGCCTCCCAAGGCTTTGTTAGCTGCTGCTCCTAAGTTCTCCAAGAGAAATCATTGTGTTGTTTATCATTTGCTTATCTGTCTCCTCTGCTAGGCAGTGAGGTCCTCTGGGACAGGGAACAAATATGACTTCTTTGTGCATCCCCAGCACTCAGCACAAGGACCAAAACATAGTAGATGGTCTATAAATGTTTGGTGAAAGAATAAACAAGAGTATAGTTTTATGAAGTCGCTATGTCCCACCCAGAACGAGGCTGAATTTCACCCATCCTTGAGTACTAAAAGACAGAGGACAACACCATTATCCCCAATTCCCTTAACCTTCAACCATCACCATCCCTAGGGTTGAAGAAGAACCTTCCCCCCCGCACCCTCCAGGCACCATCTCTCTCCTAGATGGAGAAGACATTGCATATCCTCCAAACTTCCCATTCTGCCTGAACTTCAACTTATTGCCAGCCCTGACTTCTCCCCTTGAACCCCAGAATCACAGATATAACTGTCTGCATGACCCTTCCTCTTGGATGCCTAGGAGGTAAGTCTAACTTAATAGGACCAGCTCTGAATACTTAGTCTTTTTCCCCCCTCAAACCTGTTCCTCCTGCAGTCTTCATCATCTCCCAAAATGGTAGCACCGTCCAACCAGCTGCTCATCCTGGCCTCATTTCTCACGCTCCATATCTGAGCTAACAGCTCATCTTGTTGGCTCATGCTTGAAATTCATTCAGAATCCAGCCACGTCTCCTCACCACCATGATCTCCACCCTAGCCCAAGCCTCCACCACTCTCAGCCTGATTGTTGTAATTCTCAGGCTGGTATCCTGCCTCTACACAAATTAATCTCCACATAGCAGCCCATGTCAGTTCTCCAGTGTCTTCTTATTTCACTCAAACTAAAAGCTAAGGTCCTTTCGATGGCCTGCGAGACCGCGGTGAATGGCTTCCTGTTACTTCCCCGTTACTTCTCGGACTTCACCTCCCACTTCTCACCTCCTTCCTCACCCTGCCCTGGCGACACTGGCTTCCTTGCTGTTCCTCAAACATGTCAGGTCTTCTCATTTTCTGGTTTCTCTACCTGGAACACTCTATCCCTCAGATATTTCGTTCCCTTTCAATACTTAGATCCCTGCTCAAATGTCACCCTATCAGAGAGGTCTTTTCTTACCCCTCTACTATAAAAGCATCTCCCCGTAATCACTTTCTATCTCCTTATCCTTCTTTATTCTTCTTTATATTATATATATTTTGTATACAGCCTCTCTTTGTTTATATAGTTATTCCTTGCTCTCCAACCCCCGTCTTCTTTAGGACGGGGAGGACTCTTTGCCCTCCAGGCTTCATCTCCCCCAGCGCTTGGCGGGCAGCTTGGCTCCTGGTCACTCACCAGCCGGGAACTGTATGTGGGTGATTTGATGGGTGTGGCCACAGGGCAGTTGATTCGCTTCTCCTTTTGACGGCGGTTGCAGAACCAGACCCTCACCACCTCCTTCTCCATGGACAACTGCTCTGCGATCATGGAGATCTCCTCTGAGCTGGGTTTGGGGTTCTACAGAAACCAAAGGGATAGAGTAGTCAGGAGGAGAAGGGAATAGGATCAAGAATTGTGCGTGGGGAACAGATGTTCCGAAGAAGCAGGATAGAACAATAGATGGAGCAAAAGCTTTAGAATCGGACCTACGATGGAATAGTGGCTTGAGCACTTACTCTGTGGCCTTAGGAAACTTTCTGAACCTCTCTGAGCCTCAGTCTTATCATCTATGAAATGAGAGAAATAATGCCTACCGTATAGGATGATTATGAAGATTAAATGAGAAAATGTGTATAAACTGCCAAGCACAGGGCCTGACACAGGGTGGAGGCTCTTCTCTCGCTCCTTCTTCAGAAGTTCTGAAAAGAGGAGCCCACTGATGAGTTAGGTAGGGCAGGCAGAATCCCCAGAACACACGCTCCCTTCTGTTCTTTCCTCAGAATCTGATACCCTTCTCTTGCGTCATTTCTTGCTGCCTACCTCAAAATAGGAAATGATAAAGTTAAAACATGAGGACCCATCAAGACTATAAAGGAGACATGTGTGTATATAAATAAATAAATACACACACACACACACACACACACACACACACACACACACACACATTCCAATACATATCCATCACTCCTTTGTTCTGACCCCTCCCACCCCCACCCAGTCTTTGATCTTAGCTCCCTTCTCTCTCTTCTGCACCCTCCCTTACTCTTGCTGCTCTCAGAAACTTAATCAGAAGGAAAAGCCAGGTCTTGTCATCCTGCCAGCAGGATGCAGCCATCAAGTCCTGAGTCATATGTGCTGGAGAGTCTGCTGGAGAGACAGGAGTCCTGGAGGTCTGGGGCCTGCAAGGTGGAACTAGGCCACAGGCAAGCCCTTTAGGGACCGTGTGGTGTGGATGGAAGCTCTGGAGGCTGGTACCTAAGGGGTCCTGATTAGAGGCTGTTTAGACCACACCTGTTTATCCCTCTTCTCTTCCCCAGCTCCCCCGGGGCACATAACTGGTATTATCAGTGTCCACATATTGGCTCAAGAATATACTTTTGCTGCGAGTTTAAAAAGGTGTCTACGTAATATGACTACAAATATTGAAATATACGTAGAAGAGAGGAATAGAAGGACGTGCATTTAGATGGCATTGGGTGGTGGATTTTTTTCCTGCCTCCCTGCATTTTCCAAATTGTTTACAATGAGCATTTATTATATATATAATTTGAAAAATACAGAACAATGCAAAGAAAATAAAGAATTTATATACAATGCCCTGGCTTTGCTCCCTTTATCTCAACTGGATACAGAGATACACTCTCCTCTGGGATTCTATACCCCTGTCTTTAAATCTCCCGGCTCGAGGGACAATGGGCACCAAACAGAGGTCAGGGCGAGAAGGGTCAGTGGGGGAGGAAGTTTCTGGAACCCAGCCTCTCATTCAAACACCGGGGCACCCGGAAAGGAAGCGTGTCTCTGTGTCCCGACCCTTTCCCAAGGCAGGTGTACGGGGGCTCAGGGGTGGCGCCGGGGGGCTTGTGTGCATCTGCTCAACCCCTGTGCAAGTCGGCCCACCCGTCGCCACCCAAAGGGCCCGCTCACATCTTGAAATCTCTTCTCCAGAGTCAGGCGGATGCTGGTCTCGATGCTGGTCCGCTTCTTCCTCTTCCTCCCGAACACTTCACTGAGGGTGGGGTAAGAGCTGGGGGTGCTCACGGAGGGGTCTGATGGAGAGGATTCTGTGGGGAGGGGAGAGCAGAGGAGGCTCAGGGAAGGGAAAGCAGCTGGTTCAGGCTCTGGCTCGATGGACTTGGGGTCCAATGACCCTTCCCGGCAGGTTCTGCGGCCCCCTCCCCGACACAGGGGAACCAGACAGACCAAGAATCCTGCTTCCCCTCGTTGCTCTGGGCAAAAGGTCCTCTATGCCTCTCACTGCCGTGCCTCCAGCGTTTGTGGTCATGGTTCGGGGACATCCAGACATCTGCGGCACGTGTGGGTGTGAGTGGGGGCAGGCAGAGCTCCTACGAGTGACGCCCATGAGCCTGTCTTTTATAAGTAGGCCTGGATGTGAATCCCGAGGAAAATGAGGACTGGTGTTTTGAGCTAAAAGCAGTGGCACTTGGTGGCGGAATGTTGGTGTGGAAGCCACTTCCTTTTCCGTGTGAGTGTTGGGGTTGAGGCTGTATGAGGGGTCGGCGGGGATGTCCCTTAGGAAGGATTCAGGCGCAGCCAGGGAATCGCACAAGAAATGATCCGCAGGATCCCTTCCCGAAGATAAGACCTTCTGATCACCTCTTTCACTTCGGCGCTCCAGTAAAACCGCCGAAGGATCAGCCTTCCACGGGGGGGGGGGGGGGGGGGGGGGCTGGGGAGCTTCCTCACCCCCTCCCTTGTTTCCACGTGGAGCAACTTCCGAGAGGGTCACACCCTTGGCTGCCCATACCCCGCCTTCCTCTCTCTCCATAGTGACCAGTGACCCACATTAACTACAGACGAGAGCCCAGCCCTGACACTGGCTCTGCTCCTAGACCAGTGGTTCTCAACCTGGGGCGAGATTCCGTACCACCCTCACTCCCCCAGGGGACATTCGGCAGTATCTGGAGACATTTTTACACCTGTCAACAGGGGGCGGGTGCTCCTGGCATCTCGTGGGTAGAGACCAGGGATGCTGCTGAATAGCCTACAGTTCCTAGGACCGCCTCTGCCACAGGTCAGTATCTGGCCCAAGCTGTCGCTAGTGCCTTGGTTGAGAAATCCTGTCCCACGCTATGCCACGACACCAAACTCTTCCATTATTAGTGCAAAGGTTTTGCCCTTGGCCTACAACCCGGACCTCCTGGGCCCCCACGCCTGACTGAATCCTCCTGCAAGCCCCACTCTTGCTGTAAGCCTTTCCCAACCAGTCTAGCTTGGAGTAACTCCCTTCCCTCTGAAAACCTACTCAAGAATTCGCCAGGTGAAGATCTTGCGTTGTGCCTACTGCCTCCTCCTCCCAGCCATGAGACCCTAGAGAACCTACTTCCCTAACCCCCTGACCTAGACCTAGTCCAGACAGCATTCTGGGTAAGTGCGTTTGCTCTGCAGACCCGACCTTTGTCTCTGGCGAGCTGTCCTACGGTCTAGGCTGGGTGTGTCTGGGGTAGGGAATAAAATGGGGCAAGTCTTCGTGGCCACAGACCTAAAGCTACGTCTTCCATGCGCTTTATCAGTAGTGAAGCTGACATTTTCATCTCTACTTGGCTGTCTCCTGTGTCTTATTTCTCAATTGGTTCCAGACTCAGGAGGAGAGGAAAGGGTGCTATGTATTGACTGCCAAAAGCCCCAACACAGAGGACTTCCCCGGTGGTCCAGTGGGTAAGACTCCACGCTCCCAGTGCACGGGGCCCGGGTTCCATCCCTGGTCGGGGAACTAGATCCCGCATGCATGCCGCGACTAATAGTCTGCGTGCTGCAAGTAAGAAGCTCACATGCCGCAACTAAGGGTCCATGTTGCAACTAAAAAAATATATCCCGCATGCTGCAACTAAGACCCAGCACAGCCAAAAATAAATAAATAATAATTTTAAAATGTTGTTTAAAAAAGAAAGAAAGCCCCAACACGGACCAGTCACCACCCCCTTCCCTGAAGACCTTCTAAGGCTCCATCCATCCTCGTGTCCCTGAGGCCTACCTGCATCATTCAGCCACTTCTCCAGCAGTGGCTTGAGCTTGCACATGTTCTTGAAGCTCAGATTTAGAGCCTCAAATCTGGAGATGGTAGTCTGGCTGAAGTCGTTGCCATACAGCTTTCCCATCGCCAGACCCACGTCTCCCTGCACGCGGGGATGGAGAGGGAAGAACTTTGAGAGGTAGGCCCCTTCTCTCCTTTGTCCACATCCCTCACCATCCTAGCGCCTATCCACACCCAGCGAACCTTTGCTCACCGTGGCTCCCTTCCAGTTTCTTCCCTCCAAGATGGACACTTGGTTATTTCTCTCCCTAGACTCTGAGTGCGCTGTGCCCTCGTGCCTAGCTCCTTGCCTGGCTCTCATTCCTCTCCCCTCCACCAGCGGTGTTCCCATTTTCCCTACCAACGGCAACCGTGCCCCATTCTCAGGGGACACAGGAACACGGTGGGTTTGCCCCAAACACAATGAGCTCTTAAAACCTCCACTTGGGAACCCCAGTCTCTACTCACTCGACCCAAGTTCTTCCACCTCCTTGCCCCAAACCGAACCTGTGTGAAGCCCAGCTTAATGCGCCTCTGCTTGAAGGTCTTGGCAAACTTCTCCAGCTCCTCCAGGTCACTGGGCTCATCGGCTCCTCCAGAGCTGGGGAGATGCTTGGGGACTGGGAGATGCTGGGATGCTTCCAGATGCGGTTCTAAAGAGGATCCTGGCACCCCAGGGCACCCAACTGCCTAAGAACAGACACACACCAAGCCAACGCACAAACAGTCAACAGATCAAACGCATTTCCTGATATTTTGTACGAACAGGCCCACTTAGAGGATGACAGATTGGATTCCTATGATTTCGATGGTGTGCAAGTGGAAATCGGAGTCTCCATGAAGGGACTGGCAAATAGCTGCAGTAGCTGGGGTAGAAACAGTAGGAGTGCGGGACAGGGAGGTGGCCTTTCTGGGTTTTAGTCTATGACTCACTATTTGAGTCTGAGCAGGTAACTTCCTCCTTTCAGATTTCTACCATAAAAGGAGCTAGCAGTCTCGTTTACAAAGATCCCTGAAACAGATCTCAGAACGGGACAAGGAAAAGTTTGTTTGCCTTGCCTGTTCTTTTCCACAAAGCAAAGTAACTGAGGTGTTCAACAGGCATTAACTGAAGATAACAGAGGGCATCTGAAATTCACTGCATTAATGGAATTTCCACAAAATTCCAAACTCTTATGACTGCCATTTTATTTTCTAAACAATCATCTTCTTTCCGGAGAGTACTTTGTTTTTTGTTTTTTTTAATCAAAGGTATTCCAGTGCTGTCTAAGCGCACCTTGATCTCATTTGTCATTGTCAGGAGATATTCTTTCTTTAGTTTATTTTCATAGGAGAACAGACCCTTATACCTAGAATCCATGTTGTGCCCATTTGGGGTCAGGAATAAATCCAACCCGTCCACAGAGAAGAAGCAGAAACCCATCAGGCTTGGGGTCCTAATGGGCTTGTGTCCAGGGCAGGGGCTGCCACTGATGTGGATGGCATGGCCTAAGTCCACCCTCTTCTCACTCCTTTCCAGTTTATTCTTTTCCGAGACTGGGGTTAACTTTACTCCTTTCTTCCAAGATATTCAGGCTTCCCATTCAGACGGGCAGCCTTGTGATGACCAGAGAGAAGTTAAGGACTCTTTTCCCCCGAGGGAGGGTCTTTTAGAACAGAATGATTTGAAACCATTAAGCTTTGATCCTGTTCCGTGGGAGAGAAGGTGGCGTGGACCAGACCCTCAGGACAAGGCCTCGGTCCTCTCTCAGGCTTCCTTTCATGAACTCATTTGTTCTTTCATCCCACAAACATGTCTTGAGCTCTCTGCTAGACCTTCCCCCTACTCCCTTCACATCCGATCAGCGGCCGAATTGCACTGAGTCAACTTCCCCAACATCCCCTGTCAGCCCCTCCTCTCTACCCTTATTGCCACCACCCAAAGCCAGTCCCTTTGCCGCTGCTCCAGGATGATCTTAATAACCTTCCAAACAGTCTCTCTGCTTCTGGTCTCGCCCGGCTCTCGTGTTATAAGACATGAGAGGTGATCTTGAACCCTCTCTCAGATCTCTTCCAGATCTAAGTCTGTGATGATGCGATTCGGAGAGCAGTCAGGAGAAGGTCCAAGAGCTCAGGACTCTTGGTGTCCCCATTTCTACTAGCCACTAGGGGGCACCCACCCCCTTCCAGGGGCCTCCACTGGACTCTAGCCCTGTAAAGCCAGGGCCCTGAGTGATTGATCCACGGGGATCTTAGCCCCGAGAAGGGACATTAGGGTCTCTGCAGTCATTCCCAACTATTCCACACGTCCGTCTCTGCAGAGGCGCCTCATGCAGCAGTGCAGGCGTTAACTGCACCGGGTCACCCAGATAAGGGGAGGAGTGGCAGCTCCAGTGTAGCTCCTGTTGCCCTCGCCAAGCCACACTCCCTGGCGTGAGGCCGCGTCTGGCCAAAGGAAGAGGTGCCTTTTTTCTCCCTGGAAAACAGGTGCTGTGTGACACCACGGCAGCTCTGCAAAGGGCCCTCTCGCAGGCCTCCGTCCTCCTGACCCTCGCTTTGTCCCCTCCAGGAAGCAGTCTAGAAGATCAGTTCTTAAGAGAGGCCCAGAGATGAGAGGCCCCGGCTTGGTGCTCTCAGAACATCAGGTCTCTGGGCTTCTGGTCTCCCCCTTGGCACTTGAGAGCACCTGGGCAGGGCTGGCAGTCACCTTGGCGTCCCTGGAAAGTTGGCTGATCCCAGGCTCTCAGAGGAGTGATGCCAGGGCCTGACTGGGGCGGGAGTGGAAGGCCTGCACACAGAGCAGGCTAGCCCAGGAGCTGAAATCTCTGGCTTCTAATTCTGGCTCCACCAGTGATACTGGGTCCCTCATTTCCTCTGGCTGTGGCTTGAATTTGCCCCCGTGCCGACTGGGATAATCCCTCGCCATTCCCTCTTCCCAGAGGGGTAAGTGTACCGTAAAGTGGGTGGGGGAAGCCTAGGAGCTTAACTCTGTCAGGAGCTGGGACAGGAAGAACGTGGGTGTTTACCTGGGACGCCAGGCCAAGCCCCGTCTGTGGGAGGAGGAGAGAGCTTTGCTGCTGTGGAAAGGAGAGAAGATTTGACTGCAGACCTGGGTGAAAGGGGAGGAACAAAGGAGCAAACGAATCAAATCCAGGCCAGCTGAAAAGACATGCTCTACAGCTTTGGAACCATGATAACTGTCCCCGCCCCCCCACCCCCGCCCCACTACCTAATCATGTCCATCCACCCCGCCTCCAGCCTTGTGGAGAGGCTCCCATGGGCACTGTCAGGATTGCCACACACAGGTGGAGGCGAATCAGACACAGGGATACACAGATGTAAACAGCAGTCCCCAAACCAGTCCTTCTGCCTGCCCGCCTGTCTGGAGTGGTGCAAAGGCTGAGGAGGGTCAAGGCAACCCGCTCTGGGATTTGAGAACCAGGCCTGGAGAAACCCACGGGGGAAGGAGATGTGGGGATGACTACTAAGAATTCAAGCTGGAGCTGAGGATTTCCATTTTGCCTGCAGAAGCACCTGGGATGGCTACAAAGGCCTAGCCTGATCTGCAAAGATGCCGGATCAAGGGAATGGTACCATACAGCTCCAAAGGGCAGCAGCCAATTGGCAGAGGCTCTCGGCAGGACCCAGACATTGAACACTTGGGAGAAAAGGCTGAGAGAGAAGGGAAGAGCAGCGGGCAACTCTACCTGGTGGTATGGACTCTACCTGCTCATTGCATGGCCTGAGGATCGCTTTCTCCAGGAAAACTGTCCATGAAGGGCTCTGCCTGGATGGTGGTCGTGACAGTGGCCTCCCTCTAAGAAGAGCCACAGCCAGGAACTCTCACTCTCACTGTGGGAATGGGGCCATCAAATTACCGAAGCACACGATGAGGCAGGTCACCCCAAGCACTCAGCACACAGCAGAACTTTGGGCTCTCTGTCGTCCCTAAGCTGTTCTGGGTCACTGATGTGTAGATCTACTGATGCTGACCGTTTTGCTCCTCAGTCTAAAACAACCAGGGCTTAATTTTTCGTTATTAAAACACATAGGCAAAAAAGCTCTTGTAAGGAGCCCTGGACTGGGAGTCGGAAGCTTGAGTGCTAATAGTAATCTGACACTTACGTTGCCTTTTGAAATGTACAAAGCCTTCTCACATGCATTATTTCAAATAACTCTCAATAAGCTTGTGAGGCAGAGTTTTACTATGATTCCAGTTTTAGGGAGGAGAAAATGGAACCTCAGAGAGATTAGGTAAGTTTCTCAAGGAGACACAGCTAGCAGGGACTTTTTTTTAACCAGTGAGTTTTTCTGATTCCAAATACCAAACTGTTTCTTTCCCCCTGTGTCGTACACTGACCTCATTGGTTATATGCCTGAGCCAGTTTCACAACACCGCCTTTCAAAAAGAAACAGAGTGAACTGTTACCTTCCCTTTCCTATTCCAGAAGTATGATATGTACTGTTTAGCTAAGATAAATACTCACAGGTTCACATATGTTCTCATTCATCATCATAATAACACTCTGAGATGACTTGGTAACTAAGGATAACTATAACTTGGGCAGGTGCTAAGGACAGAAGGCAGAGTTACGTTTTCTTTGGGTTCTGGGTTTCCAAAGCCTCTCCTCGGGATTTGTACAATGGAGGGAAGCTTATACTTCATCACTTTCAGCCCTAGTTGGTGGAGATGGGAGAGGGAGAGGCAGTACAGTGCAATGCCAAGAACGTGGGTTTCCGACAGACTTTTATGGAACTTTCTAGTAGGTCACCGGTGACATAACACAAGGTTATTTTGAAAGATGTCAGGAAAATCACTCCGCAGAGCTCCTGGCATATCATGCTCAAGAAATGTTAGCTATTATTGTGAATATTCTAATCTGTTTGTTCTTGGCCAAGGAGAAGTTGCCTGTGAGTAACTTCCCTGCCAAAGAAAACCTGAAAACGCTCTCCACAGCCTGTGGGCGGCACTGCCGCTCTACCCAAATGGAATTCCAGCCTCCCAAGGGTGGAAGTCTGAGTCCACGTCCACAACCTGGGGAGATTTCCAAGGACCCGGGACTTATCTGGACTGCGATTCCCAAGGAGCTCCTCCTTCCTTGTTCTGCCCCAGCTCCTGCCACCCTTGCGCCTTCCGTCTCAACTGGCCATGAAATTGAGGACGATGGGAGGGGGAAGCAGAAAAGGAGACTCAACCTGAGGGCCACACCAGGTCGCTTCCTCGGGCCCTGAGGTGGACAAGCCGCTCTTAATACTAGAGGGTGAGCCAGTCAGCCACGCCCCACACTTGGGTCCCAGCAGGCAGAAGCAGATCCTTAGCACACTCATCTATGTAGAAGCCCCCAGGGTTTCTCACCTTGCTGCCCAGGCTGGGACTGAGATAGCAGGAACTGGGAGACAGACTGGAGGTGTCCGGGAACCAGCACAAGCTGCTGGAGCGGGTGGAGGGAAGCCATGTCCTGTGCAGGGAGATACAGGCATCACCGAATTTACAAGCTGCAAGTGTGGGCTCCATCTGCCCGCCGCCCATCTGTCCTGTGGGTCTCCATAGGGACCTTGCCCTATGCCTCTGTATCCCTGTGTCTGACACATAGCAGCTACCCCATTAATGATGGTGTTGTTACACCTCCTGCACTGAGCCGAGCTGTGCCTTGCTTAAACCTTGCCTTGTTATTTAACTTTTTTGTGTATCAGAAAGGTCTCCCAGCTAGACTGGTAACGCCCCAGGGGCACAGACTGTGGGCATTACCCATCTCTCAGAGGTTTATCCTAGAAATAACATGCAATCCCAATTTTCTAATTTTTAAAAAAAAAATCTCACGCCACTTGATATGCTAAAAGCCGCTTTTGTCTTGGCCATTTCCTGGTCCTGAACCTTTCCTGGAGGAAGAGGCACGTTATTCATTCTTAATAAAACCACCTTGATTAAACAGAAAGTCCGTTTCCCCTGGGTTCCTCCCAATAGCCCCCAAAAGGGAAATACTACTTCCCAATACCTGGGGGATCTGGGAGTCCTCTGTGACCTAGACCCCCAGGGTTCTGTGACCCCACAGGACTGAGCTTAGGTCTGTGCACAAAGGAAAGACTTGGTAAACCCTTGCTGAATAAAGAAGTGAAGGAATAAATGCACGTTCTAGTCTTAAATATTTCCAGGGAAGGGTCGGCTCTTTCCTCCCCTGGGAATCCAGATCGAGAAAGGGGCTTGCCGCGTGGACGCCCGCCTTCTCAGACATTTGTCGTTACTATTTCAGGTGCCTCTTTATTCCTTCTAGTATGACAAAACCTTGGGGGAGGAGAATGGGCTTACTGGGGACGGAGATGCTCTGTAACCACAGCAGCAGCTGTCATCATGGGGCTCCCCTGAATATGGCTGGCAGACCCCAGCCCCATCGTTAGGGGCGAGCTAACCCCATTGAAGGGGTTAGCTCCATTGTTTTGGCAAGATTGACTCCTTTTTCTTCCCTTCTTCCCATAACTAGCCAGGCTTCATCTTTCAGAGGATTTTTCTGTAACCCAGCCCCCCTCCCAATGCAGGCCTCCAAGTTTCCCTGCAGGGGATTTTTTTTAGCCCAATCTGCATTCACTGAGAGCCAGATCTAGAGGTGAAGCATTTTGCAGGAGGCTTGACTTAAACTCACTGGCCCTCTGAGAGTATCAGGGCTTCCCGACTCGGGCTGCCATTTACCCCAGACATTTGGTTTCCAGGTATCATGGCAGGTCCTTGACTCAGGTGGCATGGCCGATGAGAGAGGGTCTGCTGCAGGGAGTCACTGAGGTCCTCGGTTTTAATCTGTAAGTGGAGGCAGCGGGGAGAGCATCAGTTCTGGGCCTCCCCAGGCAGACAGAAGTAGAAACTTAGAGAAGACCGAGGCAGGAGATAAGGGACAAGCCTGGAGAGTCAAAGAACTAGCTCAGCGTCTACCGGGCTGCAGCTTGACTTTCCTGCCTGCGTGAGCCCTTCGGGCCGGGGCAGCTGGTAAGGGACAGGGGTGAGAGTCTCTCTGGAGTAACCATCCTCGAGATGGGGAATCCACCTGGATTGATCGTTCCCGAACACCATTCCGGAGCATGTGCTGGTTATATGCTCTTCCTCACTGAAACGCCAAAAGACGAGGAATTTTTGTAGTGACTTTAGACATTTCTTTTCGATTCCACGGTGATGTTCTTTTTCCTTGGGGGGTGGTATGTTAGAATTTCTTTTAGGAAATGATGGTGATCCTAGATGGTATTTTAAAAACTCCCCACTTTCACAAATTTAAAAAAAAAAATTGGCAACCCTTGACCAATCTCCTTTATATTATGTTTTTTTATTTTCCTGGTCCACGAAATCCCAAAGTCTGGGAGCCAGTTTCCCCTCCGTCCCCCCTTGTTTTCCACACTTGTCTGCCCTCTGCGTGCTGAGCTACCTTTGCAGCTGGCCTCTTCACCCATGTGGCTTAGGTGACAGTCCTTGCCTGTCTCCCTACAGGCGGGGACACGTCTCCTTCACAATCACTGCTGTAGTTGCAGCCTGAGGGGACTGTGGTGGTGTGCAAACTCTCTCCAGCCTCCACCACCCTTCGGTGGCAGCACCACCACCCACCTGTGGGCTTTCCAGGTGTCCAAGGGCAGGGCAGGAAGCACTACTTGTGCCCACCCCTCTTCCCACCCTGAGAACAACTACAGCAAGTCCCCTACATACGAACCTTCAAGTTGCAGACTTTCAGAGATGCGAACATGCATCTGGTTCCAGCAAGGAACCAGAACCTGTGCCATCACTGTCAGGCGTGAGTGACATTGCAGCTTGTCCTCCGTCTCTTATTGCTGACGATCCGTCAGCTCTACCGTCTCCCACCTCCTCTCCCTCCTCCAGTCAGTAACTCTTCTTGTCTGTTCACTCGATGCCAGCCCCTGTACGCCAGCGGTTGTACTGTACTACCGTACTTTTCAAGGTACTGTACTGTAAGATTAAAAATGTTTGCTTTATTTTTTGTGTTTGTTTGTTATGTATTATTTGTGTGAAAAGTATTATAAACCTATTACAGTACAGTACTATATAGCCGATTGTGTTAGTCGGGCACCTAGGCTCTCTTTGTTGGACTTGTGAACAAATTGGACTTAAGAATACGCTCTCAGAATGGAACTCATTTGTATGTAGGGCACTTACTGTACCCTCTTGCAGCATTTCAGGAAGTCCATTGTGGGGATGGGGGCGTTGGGTAGGGAGTATGCAAGTGACTTTGGATTCATATAATATGGCAGGGAGCTTGGGATCTAGACCATACCTTATAAAAGACATTGGGCGACCCTCTGATGGAACCTCCTGGCCATAGTGACCCTGGCTTAAAGCATTTTCATGGTCTATACAGGGAATATCACTGACGTCCTGGAATCTTTTCTGTATTAGTTTAACCCAAGGTAAAGGTTCAGACTAACAGCTCTACCTGTGTTTAATCGCTGTGGAAGAATGGTGCTCTGGATTACTCAACCAAGAGTTCCCTTTGGTTGGAGAGTTAGGAAGATGTTGTTGAGTGACAGAGACTGAGGAGGGAGCTCACGTCCTAAATACGGTGCCTTGTACATAGTGGGAACTGAATGCATGCTAACTGAATAAAAGACGTAATCAGAATCCACCTCTCCATCCTTCAGCGGGTTACAGCGAGGAAGACATCAAACAGGGAGCTAGAACTTGTTTCCAGTCCTAACTCTGACTCTAACTGACGATATAACCTTGAGCAATCATTTCATATCTATGAGACTTGGTTTCCCCATCAGTTGTATGATTCTACATCATTTTTCTTTCAGTCCTAGAATGGAATTATAAAATTCCAATTCCGTGGTGTATTTGGCAGAATCTGGCTAGTCCACGTTGCTGTAGTGTTCTTAGATAAAGCAGATCTAAACAGCACTAGGAAGTCCTAGTTGCGCCCAAATTGGTAAGAGGATGCTTCTTTTAGGGACAGTCTTTACAAATCACTCCTCTCTTCTCTCACCTAAGGAGGCTATTCTGGAGTCTTGGAAGCAAAGAAGAGGAAGGGAGAGTGTCAGGAAGTAGCACAATGGGGGCAGAGAGTTAGACATCAGGAAAACTCCAAAGGCATTGCCCCCCAGGAGTGATCCCCAGGACAGCCGCCATCCCTACCCCCAGTGCCCTTCAGCTCTCCCCACCCACACTTGGTATCTCCATCTAAGAAGCTTGCTGTCCTAGTTCTTCCCCCAGAAATTAGAGTTTTCACATCCTAGATTCCGGGGAAACATTTGTTAGCAGGTTTTAAAAAGCTCAAAATAGATGGTAAACTACTTATTTCAAACCACCACCAATCTTAAGCTTTGCTCAGAGGGGAGATTTTACTTAAGGGAAGCCTCCCTTCCCCACATCTCCCTTCTGCAACCCCCTCCTTCTCCTGGACGTCCCTCATCCCGAGTGGGGATAGGTGAGGCAGGATGGAGGGGGACGGAGGGAGAACATGGAAAATTGGAGCTCAAAGCACACTGGTGGAACCACCGCAGGCAGCTTGGCGCGGCTCCAGCTCAGAGGCAAGTGGCAGGGTTCCTTTATAGACTCATTATGCGCAACGGGGAGATAAGGGGGTGCAGCTATGACACAGCTTGAAAACATGTGCTTTGCCTCCAACCTGGGTGCTATCTGTTAGAATCAGTGCCAGGTCTTCCTGCAACACTTAATTTCAGAAACCAGCACCATCATGAAAGAAAACTCACTCTTTCATCTGCTTCCTGGATCAATTGCCCTCCAAACTCTTTTAGGGGCACTGCCGACCTCCCACTTCTGAAAATGAAGTGTCTGATAGCAAAAATAAATCCCTCTGGGTGTTAGCCTGGGGCGTTTTGACAACTCTGTGTGTTCCTCTTCTCAGTTCTTACTTGATTAACCTCTTACTCTTTCATTTTTCATAATTCATTACCCCTTGTGTGTGAGCTGCTGACGGTAAACCCCAAAGGAGACAATCCTAAACAAACCAATCTGAAAGACAGTGAAGCAGACCACTTCTCCTGTGACAAATTCTAAAATCTCCACTTTGGTCGGTGGGTCTCAGAAAGAGTAGAGCTGTACCAGGAGGAGAAGAAGATACAGCGGCAACTCTGCCTGCCCTCCCGACCCCGGCACACTTCTCCGACGATTCTCTGAGAGTTCAGGGGCTAGCTAAGACAATAAGAAATCAAGTCCCTTCCAAATCCAAAAAGCCCTTTCACAGCTGTCGAATGGAAAAGTTTGGAGCCTTTCCAGGCAACTGGGTGTTGGCCGTGGATTGGGAAAACGAGACAGACTTCTGTTGGATCTCATTGACTTCTAATGTGAGAACCGGAGGCAAATTGGATGAAGACCCAATTTCCCCCGTACTTGTGAAAACCCAACCAAACCCACAGCCTGTCTGGAACCGTGAAGATTGTCTCCAGGGTCCCTTTGGAGCTTCTTCTCATGCAAGTGAAATATTTCTCCAGGCCCTGTTTGGGATGGACTAATCCCTGGGGATGTGGGCCACCACAGAGGCCTCTGCCTGGTCACAGCCATCGGTCATCCCATCCAGATGTTAGACATGGCTTGTTAGTTCAGGATCTTCTCCACCCACTGAGCTGTGCAAAGGTGTTACACTGAGTCTTGGGCAGTGACCCGGGAGGTAGAAAGGTATCGTGGGTGATTATCTTTTCTAATCCCAGCGAACTCCCCGACATCACCTGCTTTAGAAAGAAATAGCCTCATTCTGGGAAGAGAGAGCCCCTTCTGAGGAACTGGAAACCCTTCATACATTTCTTACTTGGCTTCACCGCCCAGCCAGGAAGTGTGGGGATGAGTGTTTATCTTCCCATCTCACAGAGACCAGGAGTGCTTCAGAGATGCATGTAAAGTTACAGGACAAGACACTGGCTAAACGCTACAAGACAATGGTCCTCTGACCCTCCCCAGGCACTCTATCTACAAAACAATACTACAAACATCTCAGGGATGGGAGAGAGAACAGACCACAGGTGATGTTCTGGCCCAGACCTACACTTGGACCTCCTTATTAACCATCTGTTTGGGGTCATGCAATGGGGCTGGAGTACTTAGCCTTAGCCCCCTCCCCGGGACATTTCACGTGGCTCTCTCTTGGGGGGGAAACAACTCAACATTAATGAATATATCACTGGCGATGAAAATGATCAAAGCTGTAGTGCCAGTTGCATAACTCGTTTGTGGAAAGTGTTTCATAAACATTTCACAAGAAGGAGAATTTCAAAGCGTGAACATCTCCCAACCTGCCTTCAATTACAGGCAAGATTTTTTTTCTTTCTTCCCCCCTTCTATACGTCTCCCTAGCAGTGAGGAAGAGTTTCTGTTTCGTAACTGATCTATAAAAGGGTTGACAAACGTTTTGCTCATGAAAAGATCCTAAAAATATATTCCAAGCGGTAGAGTAGGGCAGGCTGGTAACTTATCTCAGACGAACAAGGCTGAGAGCCCCCTAAGAGATGCTGGCTGTATTTTTGCTTGGGGGACTCTCCTTTCTCCATGGCTCCTGGCCGCTCCCTATGAGTCCAAGGCTCCTGCCTCTTTGGATGCTACCCTGAATTACCTGGGGAGATGGCCTCATCCAGTCCCTGGTCTCTAGTCAGACCTACGACAGACCAGCCTAGGCACACCTTTGCCCATGCACATTGGGATCTTCTCCTGGAAAGCATCGAACTTCTAGACAAAAGAGTGATGGAAGTGAGGAGACATGGGGCCCTTTAATAAACATACGGTTTCTTAGGAGGCTGGAGCCACTTAGAGTTGTTCCCTCCCGAAAAGAAGCTTTCCAAAGAGGCATCCTT